TGTGTGTGTGTGTTAGAGGAAGGGTGGAGAGGGTTCGGGAGCGCTCGGCTCGCCAGAAGAGTCAGGCCGCTGTGCAAAGCCTGTCGCTTCAACGTGTCACGCTGGCGTGCGTGTCTCTGAAGGGGACAGGTGGGGTCCTTGCGGATCCCCAGCCTCGCGGGGAGCGTGTGCTATCCCTGCGCCGGCTGTCCCAGCCCCAGCGGGATGCTGTCGGATCAGGTGTGCCGCATGGGGCAGGAGAAAACGGGTCCTAGAAAGCAGAGGTTCTTAAAGAAGCTCTGCGCAGGGGGGTCAAATGGAGCCTCTTCACTGGGCTGACGACAGCTGCTGCTGTTTGGATCTAGCCCCATCCTGACACCTCCCGAGGTGATGCTGGAAGGGCTGAACACATGCTTCTCTTTAAGGAAGAAGCTGTGGTTTTGTTGGAGCACTTTCCCCTTGTGAAGGTTGCCAGGCAGCTATCTGGGGCGCAGGTGTGGAGGGCGAGCGACTGGGACCACTCCGGGCCCTCATCTGGGGAGCAGGTCGGGGTTTTGAGTCTTTTGAACGCTGCTGCAGCCGCCCTTGGTGCATCTTCGGCACGTGCCTCTTGCCAGACTCCGCCTCTGTGCTCTGCTCGCCCTTTGGCTTCGGGAGGACGGTGGCGGGGGACGCTCCTCTCCTCAAGAGGAAAGGTTGCGGTTGCAAACGCTTCCCTTGTGCGACGTGAAAAAGCGTGAACCTGCTCTCTTCCCCACTGCATCCCTTTCCTCGTGTGAAGCTAATTAAAGTAACGCTGCTGTTTGGGACCTCCTTATCTCTGAGGGCATATTAGCAATGCCTCGATAAGAGCTTGTTTAACTTGCCTGCCAGACTGAGCAGATTGGCTTTAAAAATGGAGGCGGCTGGTTAATGAACAGGAAGGGAATTCCCTGAAGAGCATCGCAGTGCTGAGAAATGTCCTGCAACCGTAGCTCTGCTCCGGGTTTCCCCTGTTTGGGACCAGAGTCCTGTTTCCTTAATGGTGTCCAGAATGAAACTGGAAGAGCGCACACATAGCTAAGAAACTAGTTAACATGGGGTGCTCCTAAAAGATATATAATGCTGCTTCTCCCTTGGGATTTGCCCAACAGTTGGTGCCTGACTGCTGCCAGGGGCTGTGTCCCAACACAAACCAAGCCTCCTGCTCGATTTGGGACCTCTCTGTGTCTCGGGGAAAGTAGCCATGACCCTGAATCCAAAGCTCTGGGGCTTTGGCTGCAACATGAGGCTCAATTCTGCAACAAGCTGGAAATTCAGCAATAGCCTCAAGCGCACCTGGAAGGCAACGAGGCTCTTGTTGCCAAAAAACAACTGATGCGCTCAGCACGGCATTGCTGTGGCATCTGTCCAGTGGTGGCTTGGTGCACCTCGGGGCCCCTCCTGTGTGCAGCTAGTGCGGGAGATGATCCGGGTGAACGCCCTGACGGCTGCATCGGGGCTCAGGGCCTTTCGTGAAGGGTTGGGTGGTTTTATTCTCTTCTTGGAGTACAAAGGTGCCTTGAACTCGTGGTGATCCTGCTGCTGTCAGATGGAGGTGGTAGTTGGGACATTCCCCAGCTCCAGGGATCGGCAGTGGCATATTTAACTATTCATACCAGTTTCTCATTCTAGCTCAAACCCTCCTAATTTAGTCTGGCACTACCTGTGGGTGCAGGAAGGCAGAGCTGTGCCAATTTGGATCTGGGAAACTTTTCTCACCCCAGTCAGCCTCTTCTCCTCCCTGCAGGTCTACAATGTTTACATGGCAGGCCGCCAGCTCTGCTCAAAGCGGTACCGGGAATTTGCCATCCTGCACCAGAACCTGAAACGGGAATTTGCCAACTTCACTTTTCCACGTCTCCCAGGGAAGTGGCCGTTCTCTTTGTCGGAGCAGCAGCTGGACGCCCGGCGGCGAGGGCTGGAGGAGTACCTGGAGAAAGGTACTGAGCTGGGAGGAGAGCCCAGGCAGCCGTATGACGCCTTCCTCACAAGCGGGGAAACAAATCCTTAGGGTACATCCTTCCACGGGTGGTCCAGAACTTCATGGGTATTTGTTTTACCTGTGAGGGAAGGAAGCTCATTTGTAGCTGGATTGGATTTTACAGCTGAAGTGTTGAGAGGGAGCTCAGACTTTCCACGGCTTAATGATTCACGTGTTACTGGCTTGCAGCGCACTTCCAATGACAAATTGTATAATTAGTTTTTCAACGCATAATGAGCTTTTATTTATAGTGTCATGTTGCTCACCAATAATCTTGGAGATGAGGGAGCGCAGGGAGGAGGAAGAGGAGGGAAGCTTTGGAGCAGGGAGAAAGTCATGTTCGAGGCTGTTCTCATCAGGGAAGCTCAGCTCAACCTGAGCTTGCTCATGGCTGAACGCTTTGGTCCTTTTCAATGAGAGTTGTAACACCTGCAGCAGAAGTTTCCTTCAGGTTGAGTTCAGATGGTGGGAAAGTGGGTACAAAACCTTATCTCTGTGTCAGAGTGCCCGGATAAAAGACCTGACCCCACATTTTGCAGTGAAGAGATTGTAGATGGGATTTGGGGAGCAATGACCCCTCGTTCCTATGATGCTGTATTATTTTCCGAGTTGTCTGGAAGCAGCTCAATTAATTTGTGTGAGTTAACAGCCTCTTTCCTTCCCCAGCACCTGGCAGAGAAGCCCCCCCTTCCCATAAGATGGATGTGGGTCAGGTTTTCCCCACCCCGCTGATATCTCAGCCCTGCCCTGCCCAGCTCGTTCGTCTTCATGCTCGGTCACCAGCTGGCTGGAGGAAGGGGCAGACTGGTTGCATTTTAGAGGCAGTTTGGGTCCAAATTATTTGTTGAACTTGGCCTAAATTCCCAAATAGTTTCAGTCCTGCTGGAATAACTTTTTTTTTTTTTAAGAGGCAAAAGTATTATTTATGAAATTCTTGCCCACTTTTAAGTATAGTCTAAACCTCCTGTTGGCTGTGTGCCTGGGGCCTGGATTTCACCCATGGGGAATATCTCAGTGAGTTACTCAACACCTCTTGTCGCTTGCTATTGTGGGGGATTCAGGCTGGATCAGTCTTGGTGCCGGGACACCTGATACAGCCCAGAAAGCACTTGTTTTGAGAAGGCTTTCCCAGGCTGCAGATACCACCCTTGTTTCACGCTGCCCGCAGAACAGGCACTTGTGCTTTCCATGTCGGTTTTGGGCCGGTCCCGGGAGGGGAGGGCTCCCCCTTTCCCCAGGCACCCCACTAACCTCTGCTCTCTGTCCTGCAGTGTGTTCGATACGTGTCATTGGGGAGAGCGACATCATGCAGGAGTTCCTGTCGGAGTCGGACGAGGTAGGCACATAGGCGACGGCGCTGCGGCTCTGCCGTGCCCTTCCCTGTTACAGAGGCCGTAAATGCTTGGTAAAACTGGATCAGAGAGCAAAGACATTCCCTGCCAAAGCCTCGGTTGGTTGAATAGAAAACCATGGCAAAAAATCAAGGCTGCAGTTTGCTGTCTGTCATTGCACATAGGAAACCTTTTCTCCATAGCAGCAGCTAAGAGCAGCTTCGTGCCGCTCTCGGAGGTGCGCGCAGAGCAGAACCAGCCGCGAGGCCTCATTGCGTACCCGGGGCTCTCTGGCAAGGGGAGGCCCGGCAAAAAACTGCACTCGCTGACTTTCCTGCTGGTTTCTGTGCCGGCGGCAGCCCAGGTGACTTTGCATTTGTGAGCTGTTTGTATTCGTCAGCCTTTAGCCAGAAAGGTGGCAGGCACTCTGCATACCAGTCTGTCTGACTTGCTCCTCCTGAGATTGGAGTTGCAGGCAGCAGCAGCGAGTTGCTTTTTGCCCTTCAAGTGTTGCTCTTTCTCCAACATTTCCATGGTGCGTTAAGTTGGCGTGTCCCAAAGCTTTCTCACACCCTTCACTGGCAAACCCGTGAATGGAAAATCCTACCCCATCGTGGCGTGAAGTGGTTTGCTCAGCTTCCTGTCTCGGAGCAGAGCTCACATCTTCCTTCTTTCAGAATTTCTCTGGTGCGGACTGGAATGGGATTCTTGAGGCTTGCAGAGTAGCTGGTTGTTAGAAGCAATCATTTTAGTTAGCCAGTGAGAGGCAGTAAACAGCCCGTAGAGCTTGGGGCTCAGTTTGTGTGATGCTGATTTCTGTCCTCTCTTCTTCCCTCCTTCAGAATTACAACGGTGTCTCGGACGTGGAGCTCCGAGTAGCGTTACCAGACATAACAACAGTGACAGTCAGAGTCAAAAAGAACAGCACTACAGACCAGGTGTACCAGGTGAGCTACTTTTTGGTTTTTTTACATTGACTGGAAGATTAACACGATTTGGACATTAACCAAAACCCCGTGGGCACCCGCTCGCTCCTCTTCGAGTGCAGGTGGGCATCAGCGACGCTGCTTTGCTGTAGCAGAGAGGATAGGGACACCAGGGAACTCAAACCTTACACTGAGCTGAAGCAGCGTTTTCACTGGCAGGCTTGGCTGCAAGGACAGAGTCATCGCTGAATTAATTTTCACTGATAGTATCTTAAAGCTGGTGGCTGGCTCTAAGCACTAGACAGATTGTGCATTACGGCTTGCAGTGGCTGCGGTGGAGGAGCTGGGTCCAAGCGCTGCCGGCAGCCAACACACGAGTCTCACTGTGGCTGTGTGGCAGGACAGCAAGTGGAATGTTAAGGGTAGTGACCTTTTTGGGGAATCCTCTGGCCAGATTACAGGTTTACAAGTGGCCAGAGGCCCAGTGCTTTCAGTGGAAAACTAAGGACAACCGACTTCAACCAGCACTGCTGGAGGAAAAGTGGAAGCTGTGAATGGATTAGAGGGAATAAGATGATGCGGGGGAGAGCCTTTTTGAAAGGGGAATGAAAAGCGTTGCTGCGAGCAAGGGAGCCAGAGGGCTGCGAAAGAGCAGGCTCTCAGGGTCTGCCGATCTGCACGGCAGAGCCCTGCAGATGGGACTCGCAGTACGCTCGCGCGTTTGGAACGCAGCCTGTTGAATTTCACGTTGCCTCTGCTGAGGTCTGTGAGTTTTGGCTGTGGTACTAGCGTGCAGGACTGAAGTGTTGTTGGAGAAAACTCCTGGGGGAGGTGTGCACGCCTCTTCCATTAGGAACTGAAGTGGGAGGCATCAGAAGAAAAGGTGACCTAATTGTCAGCCACGGTGGCACTTAAAATCTAGAGCAGTTTACAGGAAGGTGAAAGCAGGAGACTGTAAGCTTAAGAAAACATCTGGTTTTACTGGAAGAGTAAAATTTGGGTTTTCCATGGTGACTAGCGCCTCAGGCTAGGGAATACTTGGGAGTAAACCTGTATGAAGCCAGCCTTGCCCCGGAGGGGGACAGGCAGCTGCTGGCTCCTGTTTGCTCACCCTGTTTTCCCGTTCGGTTGCTCTTCAGGCCGTGGCTGCGAAAGTCGGAATGGACAGTATTACCGCAAACTACTTCGCCTTGTTTGAAGTGATCAATCACTCCTTTGGTAAGTCTTTTAATCCCCTCGGTGCTGACGAGCAACTGAGGAGAAAGCTCTGCAGTGCTAGCAGAGCCCGGTGGCACTCTCATTTAGGTCTTATCTCTGCTCGCAAAATCAGCAGCCCCCGGGAGGAACGGGCAGGCTCAGTAGGCTCTGATAATGAGGAGCCCTCAAAGTTTGATGGCTTTTTTTGCTGTCGCTTGACTTTTCCTTTCTTAAGCAGTTCAAGGAGACGAGCTTTTTGCTAAACTGAGAGACGCATTTTACTTTAGCTCAAAGGGTCTGGCGAGCTTAGAAAAAGTGGGCAGCGTCACTGCAAGACAGCCGTCGCTGGAGAGGGGGGCACCAGCAGCGGCTTGGGATGGATTTTTTCCTTTTCTGGAAGGGGAAGTGGATCGAGGGCACGCTTGGTCTCTACACATGTAGGCGTGGGTCAGTGTCCAGGTCCTGGAGGGGATGTGCTGCAAGCTGCATCTTAGCTTCTCATCTCTCCTTCCGCGGTTAAATCCTGATGGTATTTGAGGCTTGACTGTGGGGTTCTGGGTGATCGTTTTGGCACTTAAGTAATTGCCATCCTTCCAGCTTAGCACGTGCTGAAGTCTGGCTGCTGTTCAGATCCCTGGCCGCAGCAATCTCTGTTTTCGCCCAGCTTCACGTTGGGTTCGCTGAAGCTGTAGAGAGGCCAAAATGTCGTGGTCACACCACAAAATGGGTGTAGTGGTTGGTTTGTGTTTTATTTTTTTCCTGGTGCTGGGTTTTAAGCCAAGTGTATTGCTCATTCCCAGCTGGGTACCTTCATTTCTGGATTGTCATCTCTATATGCCTCAAACTCATCCTGTTGTTACAGCAAACTGTGCCTTCTAGGAAGAGATTCCTAGGGCTGTTCCTCATGCTCACAAGATTCTGGCTGAATGGCCGGGGCGATTTTTAGCTACTTAAAGCCCTCCTAAAATGACTCATCTCACAGAACAGGCTAGGTTTGCATTCAGATGCTGACCCTGGGGCAGCCAAGATCACCAGTCTCCTGTAAAACTGTTGGCATCGCAGAACTGCCTCTGCCCACTGGGATCGTGGTCACTTTTTGAGGGTTACTGGGTGCTGGTGTGTCAGAGCAGGGCACGGACGTAGTGAGGGAAGACCGGGGCTGGAGGGTCGACATGCTTCGAGATTGCCAGAGCCGGGCAGGGCTGTGCGGGGAGCCTCGAGCGGGAATACCTGCTCCTGGGAGATGGGATGCTGCAGCGCGCTGGCGCTGTCTCATGCAGGAAGCTTTTATGGTGCCAGACTCTAACTGGAGCTATTAATTCCTTGTTCCTGTGAGTGCTGCGCTTCTCAAACTGCGCTGGAAAGTAAAACCTCCAGTTAACCTTTATGGCCAGTGCTTTCTGGACGCTCGCTGTGAACATTCACATTTATTCCTGTCTGGATACGCTCCATTTAATTTCTCTGGAAACCCTAAGCTCCATCTGCAGTAAGATAGTGACCGTATCCCTGCCTGATGGAGGAGACGTACTGGCACTCGCCTTTTTTTGTCCATCATAGCTGGGTAAAGCAGATTTGAACACAGTAAATGCCTCGACGGGCGGCCCAGCTGCTCCAGCTTGGTTGAGCAATGCAGCAGGTTTTGTCTGGGCTCTGGTGGCAGCCTGCCAGGATGGGGGGGGGGCCTTCTGTAGTCCCCCCGCGCTGTGGGGACAGCGCATAAGGTCCAGGGCACCGTGATCCTAAGGCTTAGGCAGGGTGGACCTCCCTGTGCGCAGCAGGGGATGAAGTCAGGCCGTTGTGCTGATGCTTGAGAGCCACGCGGAGCTCTCCGACGGCCAAGAGGAGTTCAGTCTCGTGCAGATTCCTGCCTGTGCACTAGAGGACCAGTGTGGTCCGACACTATGGAAGCAGGCATTGAAAAAAGCTGGATTTGGTTAGGGAGAAGGAGAAGGGGCCTTGGAGCAGAGCTGGGGTCCTGATCCCAGCTGGCTCAGCTAAAGGGCATCGCTGATGTTGATTTGTACGGCAGCCAGGCTGTGGTCACAGGTGACGCTGCTGATGCTGTGTGGGGCTGCGTGCTTACCTCGATGTCTTGTGCATTTTCCAGTGCGCAAACTGGCGCCCAACGAATTCCCCCACAAACTCTACGTGCAGAACTACACCTCGGCGGTGCCGGGAACATGCCTGACCATCCGAAAATGGCTCTTCACTACAGAGGAGGAGGTTCTTCTCAATGACAATGACCTGGCAGTCACCTACTTCTTCCATCAGGTAGGTGCCCGAGAGCTGTAATTTTTTACTGGAGGTAAGGCAGCACAAGTGCCTGGCTCCCAGAACTGCTCCAAACACCACTGTCCTTTGGCATACTGGCAACGGAGTGTGAAACTGAGGGGTAGACTTGCTTGGGTAACTGAGAATCATAGAATCGTTTAGGTTGGAAAAGACCTTTAAGATCATCCAGTCCAACCGTTAACCTAACATTACCAAGTCCACACTAAACCAATTAAGAGTAGACTAAACCATGTCCCAAAGTGCCACGTCTGCCCGTTTTTTGAACACTTCCAGGGATGGTGACTCCACCACCTCTCTGGGCAGCCTGTAGAAGTCCATGGTTGGGTGAATTGGCAGTGCTGTGGTGAGCTTGTGGCCAAGGCGCAATCAGACCGGGAGGCAGGACTTCTGCCGCTCTCACTGCGGGGAATTTGCCTTCCCAGAGTGAGCTGAAAGGATCCTGGAGGCTGCTCTCCTTGGGTCAGATATGTTGTCCTCAATTCTGTGTGTTGTCAGTGAAGATGGCTGTGACCAGCCGGGGAACAGACTTCTCCCTGTTCATCTCAGGAAAGGGAACGTTTCTGCCTGTGACTTCACTTTATGCAGATTCTCTGGGCTGAAGTGAGTCCAAGAAGAGCCGTGTTCTCCCGTTGCCTGTATAAAGCCAGTCTAGGATGACCAGCTCAGTGTGTCCCAACACTCTGAACTGGGCCTGTACCAGCCTCTGGTACAAATTGAAATAAAAATAGTAGCTGTCAAATTCTTTGATCTCCTAGACTGGCTCTTTACTGGCTAGTGCTTTTACAAGCTGCTTTGTGACAGGGGCAGGAGTCCTCGCTGGAGTGCGCAGCTGAGGAGCGAAAGTAAGGGGCCGTGTACCTGCCCAGTCTTGAAGGAAAAGTACATTTTCATGCCAACACTCCAGCAGCATGGTGGGTAAAAGCCAGCACTGCTCTGCTGGTGACGGCTGTGTCTGGAGTGGAAGGGTTGTACCAGCCTGTCCTTGCCTGTGGCTGAAGGCAAAAGCAGGATACCAGGTACCAGCATTTCCAGATCCATCCTCTCTTGCCAGGGCACGTTCTTCCAAAGTCCTCCTAGACGCCTAGGCATCTGTACGCTCCCCAAGGCAGCCAGAGGCTCGTGGCAGGAGTCAGCGAGTGCGAAGAACAACCCCTCTGAGCCTGGCCATCCCTCTGCCTCTCTGGGTACACTGGTCACCTTCTGGGGCTGTGAATTTGGGTGGCTGTTTGGAGCAGCCTCGGGGCCAGCCAGGGAGGGCAAAGCATTGTGACTCAGTGAAGAGATCCTCTAGTCTGACCTCCTGGGTTTCCTTTCCCTTTTTCTGTTTAGGCTGTTGATGATGTCAAGAAAGGCTACATCAAAGCAGAGGAGAAGTCCTACCAGTTACAGAAGCTGTGTGAGCAGAGAAAGATGGTCATGGTGAGTTATCCTGCCTGTCCTGTTTGCTTTCCTTCCTGTCTGCAATGCTGTGTCTGGAAAGGAGACACTGGAAGGGATTGCCCAGAGAAGTTGTGGATGCCCCACATCCACTGGAAGCATTCAAGGGGGCTTTGAGCGACCTGATGTAGTGAAACATGTCCATGCCCATGGCAGCGGGGTTGGACTAGATGATCTTCAAAGGTCTCTTCCGGCCCAAACCATGCTACCCACACAGCCTTGAAAAACACATCTTTCTTGGAAAGCAATAACCGTGGAGAGCTGTAGGGGTGTGGGCTTAGCACAGGAGGGATTGGCAGGGCGTGCAGACACGCAGGACT